TTGGCCATGGCCGCTCCGATGGCCTCCGCTGCTACCTCGGCGATATGGAAAAAGTCGCCGCCGCCTCCCTCTCTTTCTTCCTCCACACCCGCCGCAGCGAGCCCTACTGCCATCTCCCTGCCTTCCTCTTCGGCGAGTCCATGGGCGGTGCCGCCACCATGCTCATGTACTTCCAGTCAGATCCAGACACCTGGACCGGTCTGATCTTCTCGGCGCCGCTTTTTGTCATTCCGGAAAACATGAAGCCGAGCAAACTCCGCCTCTTCCTCTACGGCCTCCTCTTCGGCGTCGCCGACACTTGGGCCGCCATGCCGGACAATAAAATGGTGGGAAAGGCGATTAAGGATCCGGAGAAGTTGAAAATCATAGCGGCGAATCCTAGACGGTACACAGGACCACCGAGGGTTGGGACAATGAGGGAATTGGTTAGAGTTACGCAGTACATTAGAGACAATTTTTCGAGGGTTACGGCGCCATTTCTGACGGTGCACGGGACGGCGGACGGAGTGACGTGTCCGTCGTCGTCGGAATTACTGTACGAGAAGGCGGCGAGCGTGGATAAGACCTTGAAGCTTTACGAGGGGATGTACCATTCGTTAATTCAAGGGGAGCCGGATGAGAATATGGAAATTGTTCTGAGGGATATGAGGGAGTGGATCGACGAGAGGGTTCAGAGATATGGATCGAAGAAATAGAAACTCAAGATGGGTGAAGGTGGGTGTTAATGGCGGAAATGGAGGAGATCTCTGTGTGCGTGTTTCTGGATAATGAAAATGGCATAACTGGTAATTTTGATGTGTTTTTTGGGCTATAGGTTTCGTAATGCCAATTTGCTTCCTTGACTTTCGCTCTTCTTATTCTATTAAAAATAAACTTAAATTCTAATGTACCTTATTTTATCTATTTACCCCTTTCTCTCTCATTCTTTTATGGGTTAGTTTTTAATTATTTATTTTTAGAATATAATTCCTCGTAGTTTTTTTTTTTAATTGAATGCCTTCCATGTCTTAATTAATTAAGTTTTTTAAAAATGTTCAATATAAATTTAATAAATTAAATTATATATTTTTAAGCGTAAAAGTCAAAGCCAAAGTCCACCCATAGTCGATATTATTAGTTTTAATTTATTATATATCATCATCAGCTTCACAATTTTAAAAAGCGTATCCTAAACCTCACATTAAAGACGCCTATGATTATATTGGGGAAAACATCTTTGTTTGTATTGTTTTTGCATTTGGAGTTGCCATATATATATATATATATATATATATATATATAATCCGAAACAACCTACCCAAGAAAGACCCGTCAAGCTTCCTCCTCATCGCCTCAGCAAGCGTTACAACGAGCACAAATTTGCCTGGCCAATCTGCAACCATGGAACCAACTGGGCTGTCTTCTGCTGCCCAATTGAAGCCCTCATTTAATTTAACGTCTGCATAATAAAGCCCAATACGTTCTCAACCAAATTCACCTGTCCTTGTTCTCCACTTTGAATTTCTAACATAGACTCGATGGGTAGTTGAGGAACAAGCTGGAGGCTCACACCTTCGACTTTGAAGGGTCGAAAGTGAAAGAAGGGTGTAGGTTGGGAATTTGATTGGAAATGGAAGTTTGAAGAAAAGAGGTGGTTGAGGATTAGGAGATAGGAAGAAAAGGCAAAGAGATTGCGTTCAAAAGCGGGGAGCTGAAGGGCTTGGGGGGGGGGTAGGGTTGCTTTCGCTTGCTACCACGAGAAACAGTTCCCCAAAACCAAAACCAACTTGTATTTTTCAAATTTTATCTGTCTTCTTCCTTGAAATCAATCTCTCCTTTTCCACAACTAAGTTCCTCTTGAAGTACTTAAAAATGATTTAAATATTGTTTCCGAATTATATTTGTTTCAGCGATCTTAGAAACAAATATAATTCGGAAACAATATTTAAATCATTTTTAAGTACTTAAAGATAACTCCAAAACAGCTTCAGAATGATGATACAGATAAGATCTTTAAAAGAATGGATTTCTGAAAATATAAAATATTTTAGTGGATATTTCATTTTTAAATCATAATAAAACAAAACCTCCTCTCTCTCCTCTCACTCCTCTCACACACCTATAACAAACAAACTATTATGAAAAATTTAGGGACAAAAAGGTAATTGAACACAAGCTGAAATGATTACATAAGGGAAGGAAGGGGTATTAATTTGTTTTGACTTTCAAGGTTGCTGTATTGCTGACGTGTACTCTTTTAAACCGTTGTTCAGTGTCCTTAACTAATTAATTAGTTTAATTTTATTCATTGATTAAAAAAAATAAATTAAATAAAAAGAGTTTTGCTGTCCGTTCATTACCATGGCCGGATACAACGTAAGCGCTCTGTGAGCCCCACTGCTGACTTGGATCCAAATCGTGGAATTACTTGTTCCAGCCAATAGCGGGGTAGGTGGGTTGGATTTTTCTTTCTTTTTTTTTTTTTTTTTTTTTCCTTTTCTTCTTGATATATATTATGGAAAGCAATTATAATAATTATTGAATCCTTCCTATTTTGCAGCTGAAAAGAAAAACTAATGAAAATAACGAAAATTATGTAATTTCAGGAAAAAAAATTATGATCTTTCTATTTTAATGGACTTAAGAAAATTATGTTTATAGTATTTTAAGATTTTTTTTTTTTTTTTAATAAAAATAACTCCGACTATACTTTTTAAAAAAATATAAATTGTGAAGCTAGTTAATTTAATTATCGTTTAGTTTTTTTTTTATATATAGTTTAAGGTAGGAGAAAGATGTAAAATATAAAATACATCTAGAGAAAGATGTTTGATACATTTTTAATATTAAATAAATTTACTTAGGAAGTGTCGTCCTAAATTAAGTATAATATTAATCTCTCTCACTATTATTTTCAAATTTTGATACTTGGTACTTTGGGAATAATCAAATATGTTAATATTTAGCATTTAAAGTAATGTAAAATTTTACTAAATAAAAAATTATAACTTCTATTTAAAAAAAAATGAGAAATAAGTGAAAAATGCAACTAAAATTTTATTTTAAATAAGGACCTCTTAGTTATGTACTCACCAAATTATGATAAAAGTTAAAATATCATTTTGACTTTTCTACTTTAAGTTTTACCTCATTTAAATCTAATATAATTTCTTAAATAACAATGCATAAGTATATTTCTAAAATTTCTAAAATTAAGATTAATAATTTTTTATATAGAAAATATAATAATAAATTAATTTGAAAGGTAAATTTTAAATTACCTTATTATATCGGGTGACAAATCTACACTTTGATACGTCGGTGAAAAAACTACCTTATTATCGGATGAGGGATGGGGCAGGGTATGATGGGGAGTTCCCATCCCATCTTGCCTTCGAACCCACTTTTAATTAATTTTATTAATTTTAAAAAATGCATAATATATATTATAATTATTTATCAAAATGAAAAAAATTAATATGGGTATATTTTATATTTAATATTCCGAAATGAGAAACGGGACAGGGACGAGACGAGGTCGAGGACGAGGAGTACGTCCCAACTCTGCCCTCAAACCTTACATTAAAATTAATGTTCAAATAAAAATAGAGGCGAAAAAGAAAAGTTTGCACTTTAACCAACAAAAAAAAACATGAAAATAACATAGAAATAAATGAGAAGCACCCGTTATTTGGTGGACAAAAAACATTACATCGTTTTCTAGCTATTTCATGCGTAATTTTCGTTCGTTAAATAAAAAGAAAAGGGCAAAAAAAAAAAAGAAAAAGAAAAAGAAAAGCGTGACACTTTATTGACCAACTTGCAGAAGTTGAAAAATATCTTAAAATGAAGGGTATTTTGGACATTTCCGAACGGTGGCAGTTTAATTTCGACCGTGATTCTCCCCTTTTTAGCCAACTTGCTTTTGCAACTTCTTTACGAGAAAGGGGACATTTTTTTTAATAATAATAATAAAAAATAAAAAAATAAACACACTGTGACATGTGACATTGTCTTTATTATTTTATTCGTTGTTAATTATCTTATTAACTCTGTTAAAAAAATTTCAATCCATTTTCCACAAACTAAAGAGAAGTTTTTAAACAAATAAATATACATAAAATTTATTCTTTCAAAAAAATAAAAAAAAAAGTATATAACTTGAGTGCTTTTATTAATTTCTCCCTAGATTTGAACATTCCCCTCTTTTTAAAGGAGTAAATATAATTTAACACATTTTAATTAATTCTTAGAAGTGGAAAATAGTGAACGAAATATATATTTTTTAATACAAGAACGTTTAAGATTTTTTTTTTTTTTTTTTTTCTGTGGATGACATAATTTAAATTATATTATTAATCAATTGGTTAAGGAGATAATTAAGTAATTAAGGTAAGATAATTTGTTTTTTAGTTCAATAAATGGGCATCCAAATGTTAATAAGCACGCTATGTATGAAGTTGTCCGCACAGGTGGTGGAAAGAAAAACATATGCTCCTTAAAAAATGGCATCATAACAGTTCCACTTTGGTCAAAGTTTCAACGATCCAGACCCGAAAACTAAGGAAAAACACTCCAAATTCAGAGACCCGAGTTTATGATTTAACCTTCCAAGAACCGATGGGTAGAGCAAAGTGATTCCAGTTTATAATTTAACCTTTCAAGAACAGATCTGTAGAACAAACTTATTCTTGTTCTTGCGACTGTAAATCAACCCACCTGTGGAAAATACCTTTTTAATTATTCCTTCCGTCTTTTGGTTTGATTTGAATTTTATTTTATTGGGTTTTTTTTGGCTGTTTGTTCTCTGAAACAATTCGAGGGTTTTTGATTTCTGTTGTTTGTATATAAAGAAAGATATTTGTATGTTCGCCCATCCTCTGGAGAAGGAACTTGCAATTCTTACCCATCTTCTTCTTATCTTCCTTCTTTCCTCTTCTTCCTTCCTTATCTGTGTCTCTTTTTGAAAGGCTAAAGCGTTTGGATTATTGTTTTTCCACAAGGGATCAAAGAGGAGAGACATGGAGGCTGTTTTGCAAAGCAAAGGGTTTCTTACTCTTCCCCCAAATCCCAAAGCCAGAAGCTTATTGCCTTCTCATGGCCTTAGGCAGAGGATTTTATCCACAAAGCCTTTGAATCTTCCTGGGTTATCACTTTCCTCAAATGGGTTTCAAAGATTTCAGGGATTTGTATCGAGAAACGCTTCCTTCTCTCCCAAAGAGCGTGTTTCTCTCATCTGCAGGGCTGAGGCCGCGGCGGCGCCTGCAGCGGATTCCGATGAGATCCCTAAATTTATGGGGATTGAGATTGAAACCCTCAAGAAGATTATCCCTCTTGGGCTTATGTTCTTTTGCATCCTTTTCAATTACACAATTCTTAGGGATACAAAGGATGTTTTGGTTGTGACTGCTAAAGGTAGCAGTGCTGAGATTATTCCATTTTTGAAGACTTGGGTTAATTTGCCCATGGCTGTTGGGTTCATGTTGTTGTACACCAAATTGGCTAATGTTTTACCTAGAAAGGCTCTGTTCTACACTGTCATCGTTCCATTCATTGCCTTTTTTGGGGCTTTTGGATTTCTTTTGTATCCTCTTAGCAATTTTATCCACCCTCAAGCTTTTGCTGATAAGCTTCTCAACTCCCTTGGCCCGAGGTTCCTTGGTCCTCTGGCTATTATGAGGATTTGGAGCTTTTGCTTGTTTTACGTCATGGCTGAGTTGTGGGGAAGTGTCGTGGTTTCTGTTTTGTTCTGGGGATTTGCCAATCAGGTAAATTTTCAAAACTTTGGCATCTAGAACTTGTGATTAATGATTCGAGTTTCATGTTGTTGCGACTGCTGTTAGCGATTTTAGATCTTGTTCGAGTGCGAATTCAACGATATTTTACAATGATCATACTTTTTGCTCCTGCTGACTAATGGCTTTACGTGTTTTATTTTGAGTTATTGATTGGGATATGTGAAGTGCAAGGGAATTCAAAAGAACTGGATTTCTCCCTTGAAGTTGTTGCATTTAGTTGTTGGGTTTATGTTCTGATAAATGTAAGGATAGGTTGAATTGAATCTATCCGTGGCCGAGCAAGCGCCGTGACCAATGGTTTAGCAATTGAGTTTGAAAGGATTAGCTCATTAATTTTCCCTTTCTTTGGTTGCCATTTTTCTGCAGATTACAACTGTTGATGAAGCCAAAAAGTTCTATCCTCTATTTGGACTTGGTGCAAATGTCGCCCTCATTTTCTCGGGTAGAACTGTGAAGTATTTCTCGAACATGAGGAAACATTTGGGTCCCGGAGTCGATGGTTGGGCTATATCTTTGAAAGCCATGATGAGTATAGTCGTCGGTATGGGGCTCACGATCTGTTTCCTCTATTGGTGGGTGAATAAGTACGCTTCTCTTCCAACTCGCAGCAAGAAGAAGAAGGTAACCCCCGCATTCTTGTACGGTTGCTTGCATACGTCTTCAGCAATCAATTCTCTTGTTAAATGATTCTGAATTTTTGTATTCTTGCATTCATTTACAGGAGAAGGTCAACATGGGGACAATGGAGAGCTTGAAATTCTTGGCATCTTCAAGATACATCAGGGATCTTGCCACTTTGGTGGTTGCTTATGGCATCAGTATCAACCTTGTCGAGGTTACGTGGAAATCGAAGCTCAAAGCACAGGTTTGCTGCATTTGACATTGGAATGTCTGTCTATTAATCAGCTTGTTCTGTAAATAATGCCCTCTTCGTAACTGTACAGTTTCCGAGCCCGAACGAATACTCGTCTTTCATGGGTGATTTCTCAACTGCTACTGGAATAGTAACATTCATAATGATGTTGCTTAGTCAATATATTTTTAACAAATACGGGTGGGGAGTTGCAGCCAATATTACGCCCACAGTACTCCTCATTACTGGAGTTGCTTTCTTTTCATTGATTTTGTTTGGAGGCCCGATAGCGCCGATGCTTACCCAGTTCGGGTTAACGCCTCTTCTTGCTGCTGTTTATGTGGGTGCTATGCAAAACATTTTCAGCAAGAGTGCCAAGTACAGTTTGTTTGATCCCTGCAAAGAAATGGCTTACATTCCCTTGGATGAGGATACCAAGGTAAATTTAATGTCTTGTTTGAATGTCTACTACTAAATTGTTGTTCAAGATTTCATTTTTTAATGGCTTCGTGCTTTAGGTCAAAGGCAAGGCTGCCATCGATGTCGTCTGCAATCCATTGGGGAAGTCTGGAGGCGCTCTCATTCAACAGTTCATGATCTTGACATTCGGATCTCTTGCAAACTCGACTCCATACCTTGGAGGTATCCTGTTGGTTATCGTCCTGGCATGGTTGGGAGCAGCCAGATCCTTGGACAGCCAATTCACGGCACTGCGTAAGGAGGAAGAGCTCGAGAAGGAGATGGAACGATCAGCAGTTAAGATCCCAGTTTTGTCCAAGAACGACAGTGAAAATGGGTCCTTAGCCACCAGTGGCACGCCTTTGAACCCCACCAAAGGTGACTCTCCAAGCAGTTCACCAGAAACCTCAGCTCCAACCAACGCCTAAATTTGTTCTTCTATCAACAGTTCAAACAAACACAGGAAGAGGTTGGTTGGTTGGTTTGGCTTAGAATTTTGTGTTAGTTTTATAGAAATAAAGTTAGCCACAGACCGTATGAATCTGACTTTTTCCAAGAATCTCTTTTTCAATCTCAATATGTATTTGTAATCACATTTATATATAAATGGTGGTGAAACCCCCAATTGTAATTCCATTTATCTCATGTTCATTCTTTTATTCTTTTGGAATTTGGCCATGAGATGTTGTTTACAAGCTGTTCTTACAGGAATTGGAATTCTTCTGAATCTCTGACAGATTTGTAAATTTATGTTTTAAGAATGTTGGAATTAAGGAATAAACAACTAAATGAAATTTGGAATCACACCGGAAAGCCCCTTTCTATATTCCCAACACAACCAAGAAAAGGAATGCAGTAAATCTTATACATGGAGCGCCTAATTGCACAAACTTATTGGCTTTCAAGAGAATGAATAGCAACACTCAAAAAAGAAGGAACTGTATGGACAAAGCAAGACATACCGTACAAACACTGGCCATAGTTGAATGAAACAGGCAAGTTTCATAACCTTACTGCCTTCTTGAGTGTCTTGATGAAGCTGTTTCTCGCAGAATGATCGTCGCCATTGACATCATTGTCCCCGCTTACCATTGGTTTCTTTCCCATACAGTCCACTCCCTTTTTCATTCCTCCCAAGATCAGAGATGGTGAAGATGGGATTCTCCTGAAGATCCTTGCACTGGCTGACCTTGTGAATTTCATTTCCTTCCCACTCTGCTCAATCTTTTCACACTCTTCTTCGCTCACTTCTTTTTTGGCTTTGCTGCCTTCAGTTCCAACAATCCTCTCCTCTTCTTTGTTTTGCTCAGCCTCAACCTCCTCCTGTGGGGAATTTGCACTTATTTCATGAGGCTTGCTCATGTCACCTTCATCTTCATTTTGGAGATCTACATCTTCTTGGGTTTCATCCTCTAACAGGATTTGAAGCCACTTCTCGACGTTTCCTTTGCCTCGTTGTTTTCTACTCTCTTCGTCTTCTTCTTCTTCTTCAACATCCGACTCGTGCATGAAAGGGAATAGCTTGTCATGTCCCTTTGCTTCTCCTATTTCTAAATTTTGAAGCCTTTGGATAATTAAGCTTCCTTCCTCCACCAGTGGAACAATTGCTTTCTCATCATGTTCACCAGGCTTCTCCATGGCCACAGGTTCCATTTGTTTCTCCCCTCCATTTTGGGACAAAGCAGATTCAGAAGCTCTTTGTTCTTCCTCTAGAAATAGTCTCAGCTCTTTGTGTGTTGGTGTCTTTGGCTTGATTCCTGGCAAAAAGGCAGTTGGAGTTTTGTGGTCTGTTTCTTCCAGGAGTAGCATATTGTCAGTTCTTGATCTTTTTCGCACCTGTTCATGTCCAGGCCTCAGCTGTTTCTCTAGCTCATCTCTCTGTCTGTATTTCTGGTAGAGATCCCTCTCAGCTGTGTCACAAATTGCCTTCTGCGCTTCAAGCCGGGCCATTAGTGCACTGCTTGCTGCTTGGTTTAGCCTTAACTGCTCCTTGTAAATAACACTCCTACAAGAAAAAAGTCACATTGGCAAGTTAAGTCCTATTTGATCTGCTTTGCACGTTTATTTTCGTACAATGGCTGTTAATTAATCTTACTGGTGCATTGCATCTCGGATCATCTTCTCCAGCATTGTCTTATGGGATGATTGAGCCTCAGCTAATCGCCTGCACTTCTCAGCCTTTCTTTTATGTTTAATTAATTTTAATTCCAATTCCTGAATTCTCAGCTTCTCTTCTTCATTATTTAGCTTCATATCATTCACTTCATCATCTACCCTCTGTATTTCTGCCTTCAGCTTTGCCCTTTCATCTCTTTGTCTTAGAGAATCTCTGGCCATGACAATGGCTTGGTATGGATTCGTAACGAAGTCTGGATTTTCATTCTCTTTAAGAACTTCAGGTTTCACTTTTCTTGCAGCTAACATTAATCAAAGAATCCAAAAGTTATATACTAATTTAAACTGTTGGTATGAAATCAAAATCGAACTTTTCAAGAGCAAGAGAGCATGAATGAGAAGAATTTTTCTTAGTAACTAACCAACTATAGGAATACTTGGTCTTGGTTGTCTATTGTAGTCCAATGACCTCAAAGGTGATGAAGAATCATCATAACATTCTCTTCGAGATAAAACAATGGCAGCTGGAGCAAATCCGAGTCGCTCTTTGGATGCCACGAAATGTTGAGGAAAAGAATGAGATACAACTGTCTGTGAATTATTCAGCTCTTCGTTTTCGCCCTCGAAGAACAGAAATGAAAAGGCTCTGCGCCTGTCATCATTATATCATGAAAATACGGACATATTAACATCACAACCTAAACATTCATAAACTCAAATGAACATCAATCAAGAAGTTAAAGCAAACGCACCTGAAATCTGAGTTGGATGAAGCAAAGATAGACAAAAACTGGTTTACAGAGATACCCAATTGAAAATCCCACCATGGAACTAAGAACTCTAACTCGTGATGTTTCCTCTTGCAGGCTTGCCATTGAAGTATTCGTAAATTGCTAGTAACAGTCAGTCCTCCTCCTGTGTTTCACCAAAAAACTATGAGAACAAGAGAGGAGACGAATTTACAAATTTGGAACAGTTTTAGAAGTATACTTGAGCAAGGAAACCAATGATCAATATCCCAAGCAAGTGGTGAAGCAGAATCAGCATGATAATAAAGAACATTGCCGTAATGGTCGACTCGAATTTCCGCAGGATCGAAGCCAGCGTTCCTGATATAATCAAAACCAGATGATTTAAAGTAGGAATACACAAATGTTTTTAGAAATTTCAGAAATGGAACGTCAGCTACTTACCCTAGATGGTTGAGTTGCTTCCATAAGAGACTGACAAAAAGCTTTGGCTTCGCAGTAGGCTTTGCCTTTGGATTTATTATTGGAAACAACTGATCTAATTCCATTGCGGTTGCGGTCTGAAACATTATGCAAAGATCCACGCAGTAAGTATAATGAAAATGGAAGTCAGGACAAGTAGTTGCAAGGTAATTAGGTAAAGTTCCTGCTTCTAATTCCTTGCAGAATTCGTGCCATCTTAAACATTTCAATCCAGAAATGGAAATTTTGAAGAGGAATTATGCAGAAATCCACAAGAATTGCAAAACAGAAAGGAATTAACAACGGACTAATCACAAAGAGTTCCCCCAGAAGTAACAGAAAGGGCTCAAATTCTCTCATAGTGGGGAATTAAAATCAGAACAGCAACATCACAATTCAGTTCAATCTTCCATCTAATCAAAGAAAAATTTCAGAAAGATTCGTATCTAACCTCTCGTTTGTTCAAACTATAAGGCGTGAAAGTGAAAGGAGGACCACGGCAGTACAATCCAGCTTGTCGATCGCGGCAAAGCTTGGCGTAAGCTTGCGGGTGGCCGACAGCCTCATCAATCGCCATTTCTTCTTCACTAAACAAGCAATTTTCGGCCATTATCGTCAAATCTCCTTCTTTTTGGACTCGCTGAAGAAAGCTCAAAATTTCACCTCAGATGAAGAAACTGAAAGAGGAGCGTAAAGAGATATGGAGATACTGTTTCTTTTTCTTTTCTTTTTTTCTTTTTAAGTTTTAGCTACCAAAAAGCACCCAACGGTCGAATTCGGCTGCCACGTCAACAAAACGGTGCGCAGTGGGTAATGGTAACGGCTACGGGATTCAGATTGGCCCACATTAATCAATTGGGTTTTTAAAGTCTGAGGCCCACTTGATAAACAGTGGTTAATATTTTTAAGGACAACTTAAATTTAAATTTATTTTAAAATGTTGAATTGCATAATATTTTAGTTTACTTATAAATTTTCAAATTCTTCTAAAAAGGGTGTTAATGCTTTGCTATTTTTAAACATAATATTACAGTAAAGATATTTTTAAATCCAAGGATATTAATGGGTTTTTTTCTTTTAAAAATTAATGATATTTTTTAAACGCTATTAAAATTTTAAGAATATTTTAAATATAAATAGAGATTTTTTTTAATTTTTTTTTATAATTAACTAAATCTATTTTTTAAGGACAAACTTAAATTAAAATTTATTTGAATCAATTCTTTTTTGAGATATTAATAGTAAATATCAACCTTCCTATAATTATTTATAGAATTATTGAATTATAAAATCAAATATACAATGGTAGGAAGTCTCTGAGTTATTTTTAAATTAATATTATTATTTTAAGATATAATATTATTGTTAGATATAAAAATAAAAGTGTTGCTAACTTATACATATTTAAACATGCATTTAATATTCGAATAGTTCTACTTCCACGTGTAGTTGAACCAAAATAAAGAATAAAAGTATTTTTTTTATTATACAAAATTAAAAACAAAATGATTTCTTTTAATTCTACCTTATGAGTTGTATATTTGCTTTTTTTTTTCTTGTTGATAAATGATTTATTTTGCGATTAAACAAATTTTCTTTCCTTTTAACTTAATATAAAAATATTTTAATTTTCTACCCAGGAATATCGTTTAATTTAAAGAATATTCTCATAAATGGATTAAATCATAACAGCTAAATAGAAATTATTGGATCATATCTAATATCTAGTTGCATATATAAATATATATGTAATATAGTTGTGAAATAATACATACCAATACATAATTGGAGAATATTTTTAGATCTATGATAAAATAATATATCCAAGTTATTTTCATTTGAAGTCAATCATAATATTTTTTTTATAAATTAAAAATAATATAACAACAGATATGTAAATTATAATTCATTATACCATATATTAGTCATCTATAAGCATCAAGACATGTTAATGACTACTCACACTTTAATTATTTAAAAAAGAACATAACTAGGAATAGTTTTCAATAATATTTATTTTAACAATATAATTGATTCTAATTGATATTAACACCACAAAGTATTATAGAGAATTTGACAGCTTGAAATTCCTATATTTATTAAAAATGGCCTAATATGATTAAATTTAGATCACGTGATAAATTATTTTTTGAAGTAATTAAAACTATATTATTGATATTCTATATGTTATAAATTCTACGTGCAAGCACATGCCCCTATGTTATGTCTTATTAATATGCTCATTTTGCCATGTATATCTTGTTTGTGCATAAATCTGTTGCTGTAAGGCTGTAAGGCTGCAGCCCGCGCACAAATCCTGAGAAAAACTGGTAAAATTTCAACTTTTCTTTAGTTTTTGAATGAAAATGTGTTGAAAGAAGTCCATTTTGGCAGAGATTTTGAGGGTAAAAGTAGGTTAATGTGAGTTTTTGAAGGAGCAGAGAGGAGATGGAGTTGGGGATTGGCAGCTCGTTTAAGAGGCTTGGGAGTTTTAATGTGGATGGTTTTCCAGTATCATCAGTGCATGAAGAGGACCAGGAATCGCTGAAATGGGCCGCCATTGAAAAGCTTCCGACGTTCAGGCGTTTGAGGAAAGGGTTGATGACGACTTTGGATGGTAAAGCCAATGAAGTTGATATCTTAAATCTTGGGTTTCAAGACAGGAAGAATTTGATTGAGGCGTTGATTAAAGTTGCTGAAGAGGATAACGAGAAGTTCTTGTTGAAGCTGCAGAATCGTCTTGATAGGTGCATTTGCCTTTTTTTTCTTCTTAGACTAAACTTTATAGAAAATGTTGTTCATTTGATTGATGTTTTTGTGGTATGTTTCTTGAAATTTTCAGGGTAGGAATCGAACTTCCGACAATCGAGGTTCGGTTCGAGCATTTGAATGTCGAAGGCGATGCTTATATGGGAAGTAGAGCATTGCCAACAGTTCTAAATTTCACACTCAATATGGTGGAGGTAACATTTTAACTCATGAACTCATATGAACTGATATGAACTGATAACTTTCAAGAACTGTAGTGATTTTTTGTTTGTTTGGTTTCAAGGGGTTCTTGGGTTACCTTCATATGTTTTCCAGTCGAAAGAGGCAGTTAAAAATCCTTCATAATATCAGTGGAATCGTCAAGCCTGGAAGGTAAGAAAAACAAGGGAAAAAAAATGGTAAAATCAGCACAATTTCTTGTTCTGATACTCATTTTTTGATTGTTTTGGCAGAATGACACTGCTGTTGGGCCCTCCTAGCTCTGGAAAGACCACGCTTTTATTAGCACTGGCAGGAAAGCTTGATCCTCAAATAAGAGTAAGCATCCCCTGCACTCACTCTTTTAGTTTTGGTGTAGTCTGTGATCTCAAGAAGCATTTTGCATTCAGGCAAGTGGAAGGGTGAGCTACAATGGGCATGGACTCAATGAATTTGTGCCCCAGAGGACTGCAGCCTACATCAGTCAATATGATCTTCATATTGGAGAAATGACTGTTAGGGAAACTTTAGCTTTTGCTGCACGATGCCAGGGCGTCGGCTCACGCTACGGTCAGCTTTAAAACGATACATTTACACCTTCTTGTGATCCAGTGATAACTAAACTCAAAACTCAAAGGATAAAAATGTAACATTTTGCAACTTAGGGATCTAAAATGACTTATTTTTGCAGACATACTAGCAGAACTGTCAAGGAGAGAATTGGCAGAAAATATAAAGCCTGAGCCTAATATTGATACATTCATGAAGGTAAATATTATTAATTTGTACTAAACAGGTTTTCCTTAATCTAATCACAACCATACCTAATAACAGCCCAAGCCCACTGCTATATCTGCTAGCGGTGGGCTTGGGCTCTTACAAACCACCCCCCTTGAGGGCCCAGCGTCCTTGCTGACATACCGTCGAGTGTCTGGTTCTAATACTATTTGTAACAGCTCAAGCCCACCGCTAACCGATATTATTCACTTTGGCTCGTTATGTATTTCTGTAAGTCTCACGGTTTTAAAACGTGTCTCTTGGAAGAGGTTTTGTAACGGCCCAGGCCTATCGAGCAAATATTATCTTCTTTGGGCTTTCCCCTCAAGAGAACGAAACACCCTTTATAAGGGTGTGAAAACCAATCCCTATCAGACGCGTTTTAAAAATCTTGAGGGGAAGCCCGAAAGGGAAAGCCCAAAGAGAACAATATCTGCTAGCGGTAGACCTGAGTTATTATAGGTTTTCACATTTTTATAAGGAATGCTTCGTTTACCTCTCCAACCGATGTCGGATCTCAAAAAAAAAAAAAAAAAAAGCTTGTAGAGTCGAGTTCATTAACAACAACAGAGTTAACATGCCTAAATAGAGGATCTTTGACCAATTTGAACCATGATAGGATTAAGTTAGACCGAAGAAAAGAAAATTAAAGTGGATTTATTTTCCTGTTTGATTGAAGGAATAGTGACACTAACCTACATAAGAGCTTCATTTTCAGGCAACTGCAACAGAAGGTCAAGAGGCAAGTATGGTGACAGATTACATCCTCAAGGTAATATATTATTATGAAAGCTAAACAGTGTCCAAATATGTTCTTAATCTCTAAATTCTTTGAAATCTTTTAGATTTTGGGATTGGAAGGATGTGCTGATGTAATGGTTGGTGATGAAATGATAAGAGGCATATCTGGTGGACAAAGGAAGAGAGTCACTACAGGTAAATTAGTTTATACACCCTACCAGCTATGACCTGTTCGATAACCATTTCGTTCTTAAAAAATACTCGTTCTTAGTCTTCAATATTTGAAATCATTTGAAAAGGAACATATAATTTTCATAAATGTTATCAGATTAGTTTCATAAAGTAAAAGTTTGCATACAGGCGAGATGTTAGTTGGTCCAGCGAGGGCTTTGTTCATGGATGAAATATCAACGGGGTTGGATAGCTCCACAACGTTTCAAATAGTGAATTCATTGAAGCAAAGTGTTCACATTCTTAAAGCAACGGCAGTTATTTCACTTCTCCAACCAGCACCAGAGACTTACGAGCTTTTTGATGACATTATTCTCCTATCCGATGGTCGAATTGTTTATCAAGGTCCTCGCGATGAGGTGCTTCAGTTCTTTGAATCTATGGGGTTTGTTTGTCCTGAGAGGAAGGGAGTGGCTGACTTTCTTCAAGAGGCAAGTTTTTACTCAAAAATAGAATTTAGCCTTTTGCAACCCCAGAATTGAGTACTAAATCTAAGTTTTATACAGGTGACATCAAAGAAAGATCAAGAACAGTACTGGAAAAACAAAGAGGAGGCTTACAGATTCATTACACCCAGTGAATTTTCTGATGCATTTAAATCATTCCATATTGGCATAAAGCTTGGAGATGAACTTGGCATCCCTTTTGATAAGTCTAAGAGCCACAGAGCAGCTTTGACAACCCAGAAATATGGTGTTGGAAAGAGAGAACTCTTAAAAGCTTGCTTCTCAAGAGAGATCCTTCTCATGAAGCGAAACTCCTTCGTCTACATTTTCAAGCTCTTTCAGGTAGCCTCAAATTAACTCTTTTTTTTGTTTCTTTTCTGAAAGACATAGCCTATCATCTTATTAACACGATTTCCTTTTGGAGTTTTCAGCTGTTTGTAATGGCTTTAATTACAATGAGTGTGTTCCTAAGAACTGAGATGCATCGTGATACGATTGTGGATGGAGGAATCTACACTGGTGCTTTGTTCTTCACAGT